GGTGCTGGCGAGGCTGTGGAGAAAAGGGAACCCTAGTCCACTGTTGGTGGGAATGCAGACTGGTGCAGCCACTATGGAAAGCAGTGTGGAATATCCTCAGAAAGCTGAAAATGGAACTGCCTTTTAATCCTGTGATTCCCCTGCTGGGACTATACCCTAGGAACACCAAAATGCCAATACAAAAGAACCTATGCACCCCAATGTTCATAGTAGCACGATTTATAATAGCCAAGTGTTGGAAGCAACCTAAATGCCCATCAGTAGACGATTGGATCAAAAAATATGGTACATATACACAATGGAATACTACGCAGCAGAAAGAAAAAAAGAACTACTAAACTTTGTGACAGCATGGATGGAACTGGAGAGCATAATGCTAAGCGAAATAAGCCAGGGGGCGAAAGACAAATACCATATGATCTCACCTATAAGCGGAACCTAACCAACAATGCAAAGATGCAAGGAAAATATGACCAGCAACACTGAAAGGAAAAGAAATCAACAGAGACAAGAGGGAAGTGGGGGGGGGCAGGGAAAGGGAAGGGAAGGGGAAAGTCAAGGAACATATAGCAAGGACTCATGGACAAAACCAAAGGGGAAGAGCTGAGGGAGGGAAGGAGGGAGGGGGCAAGGGAAAGTGGTGGGGGGGGAGGCAGAGACAAATGTATTTAAAAAGTAAATAAATAAACAAAAAGGAAAAAAAAATAAAACTTATATACTATGAAAATATAGTTCCCTAAAGTGCTGGGCTATGACTTAGCCTCATAAGCAATTGGCGATGTGTTTGAAGACAATGGCTCAACCATGTTTGGCCTTTCCAATGTTGTAACTGTTATATATACACAGATATATACAATTGAAATATATAAATGGTTACATATAAGTACATCATGCATTAATTCACATAATCACAAAATGAAAGGTTAATAATTACACGAGTGAATAAATGACTAAATAAAACTGAATTTCCAGAATAATCATCTCTAAGGAGCTAAATTTTATAAGATCAGAAATCTGATTTTATGAACTAACTCAGTAGACATCGGATTCCAGGGAACTCAATCATAGAACTAAAATCGTAAGAGAATAATTGGTACGTATATAGGTCAGGTGAATATATGACACTAATTAAGTAATTATAGTAGCTTTTATTTGATCACAGAAGTGGGAAGATTTATTTAGGGAATGTACTTAATTTGGGGAGCAATTTATAATGTACAACTCAGTTAGAGATGCTGCATTATTTTTCAGAGGATTTTTGTTAAGAATGACCTTCTAAACAACAAACACCATGGCACCATGTCCCTGGAACACTGTTGGACTAAAGTGTACTTCCAATGTCCGATTATCAGCTTCCAAATCCCTCCAGTTCTTTCTTAATTTAGATTCACCAGTGATTAATAGAAATGCAAATAATTACAATAATCACCTGGCATTAAGAAAATACAGAGTTTACAATTTATGACTCTTAAGAAAACATTTTATACCTACAAAATGTAGTTAAAAACCTTGTATTAAAAAGTAATTCTTTCACAGATTTTGACGTCCTAAACTTTTGTAATTTTTACCTCTACATACAGGGTATATCTTGCTCTTGTGGTCTACAGGGTACACCATACATTGATTTCAAAAAAGGGAAAAACAAAAAGTTACCCACTTTAAGTTTTGCTATTTTCAGAGAAATAACCAAAGAAATGTCTGCTTTGGCTTTTCTAGTACTAGATTTGCTCTACAGATAAATTATTTGTTAATAGGATGTGGTTATATGGGAGGATGAGTAATAAAAGGACTGACAAGTTCTACTGCCTCTCCCTAAATCTGGGTATAATGATTAAACTATTACCTCTGTCCAAAAAAGATAAGTTTACAAAGAAGAAAATAGGTAGAAGTTTGGAGAGACTATTCCAGGCCAAGAGGATGTCCACACAGATAATTTTTTAGGGGGAAGGCTCTGAATATACAACACAACAGTTGAGAGCAGACTACACAAGATATCTTAAGAGATATAATTCTAGCACAAGAAAAACTATCAGTAGTTTTTGTGATTGCTGGGGGAGGGAGGTATAAGGGGAGTAAATGGTAATGGAAAAAATATAATAAGAGCCATTAAAATAGAATGGCTCTTCATGGACCCAAACTTGAATCACTGCTAAATGAATCTAGGTTACTATCACTTTCTTTTTTGTGTGTGTGAATATATTAAAGTAACAACTTTGGCATGGTTTGGGGAGGTTAGATTTACTGGAAATATATTCATACTGTGAATTGTGATCTGATGGTTAAAAAAATTGACAAGATCGTCAAGCATTCCATATTAACAGTGGATGCAGAAAAATTTTTCAGATGGATAAAATGTATATGGTATAGATGTAAAGTTTTCTATGTAAAAAATTCTGTACAACTTTCTGTACAATATTGATTCTCATCTGGCATCCTCTAATTAGGTTATAGATTAATAACGTTTTTGGATTATTTTTTAAAAAGTATATAATAAAGGTGAAAAATAAAATGAATTAGAAGAAGCAGCAAAATAAATCTTCCTCAAACCCTAAAAGGTATACTGAGTTTGGCAGACTATTTATTAGTCATGTCAAAAAAACAGAAATGCAGTTTTTAAAATAAAGGGAAAGGGGAAGGACCAAGTCTAGTCTTGACTAGAGACTCAAAATCATCTATATCTACCTGGATAGAAATGTTCATAAAAAGATTACCAAATATTTTCTACTTCATTGAATTTTAAAATTCATAGATTTGGTTATTCTTTATCTATTCTTATCTATATACTTATTTATTTTCTTGTCTGTCACTGTGCCTTTTCTCCTCATAAATGATTCTTTGTTTTTGTTAACCCTTAAGAGACATTTAGAAAGATGATGATGGGAATCAAAAATTGTGTGGCTAAAATGACTAAATAACATTTTAAAATGTAATTAGCTGCATCTCCAAACTATTTAGTATAATTGGGGGAAGGAGGTGGATGAGAAGGCAGGCTCTCAGTTGTCTGGAACAGATGGGTATATATAGAAAGATGCATATACTCTCTTTACCTGCTCACCCCTACCACCAAATCTCCCCAGTTATCCCAATTAAAGATTGATTTGTTTTAGCAAGCTCCAAAAAACCCTGGAGGGATTATGCCCATCAATCACTTGTAAGTTTTAAGTGCTTTGGTTTTATCTACAACTAGCTGAGATTTTTTACAAACCGATTTTATTTAGGTACCACAATATTTTAAAGAGACAACAAATAAATAGAGCCTTTTTAAAGCAGAGCCTATATTCTTCAGTTCACCAGAGGCCCTATCTCTCCTTACTGTCTTATACTCACCCACTTTAAGTATTATTTGTAATTGGTCCTTCATGACAGTTGTAATGCGTTGTTTGGGAAATGCACTGTTTAAAGAATATTTTGCTCTGGGGAAGAGAGCTAAGCTGTGTGGAGTCTGATATTGCAGTAGGGTTACTTTAGATGAGTAGTCATGAGTAGACAGCATAAAATACCAAAGAACATCAAGGAGTATGAAATAGAAGATGGGAAGGGGAGAGATCAGTAAAAGGCTTTGCCTACTACGTACTAATTTTCCTAGTTTAAAGCTCACCACACCACTCTTGCTTTTGTCATAGAATGTATGATTGATACCCAGGCAGTCTGGGAAGATGAAAAGCCTCAGGCTACCCCAATACTTCACCCTACAGCAAAGGCATCTTCAGTTCAGCTCAGTGGGTCTCCATCTGGTCCCTAACTCTCCCTAAATTTCTCCCATTCCTGGTTAGGCAGAGAGAAAAGAAGAGTAAGAGAGCTACATTCCAGCTAATAGCAACAGGACACATTCTCATAAGGCCCTCATTCCTTCCAGTCTTATTATGAGGACTTCAAATTCTAGTGTTCAATAAATTCACAAGAGCATATGTATGTGTGCACACTCCAAACAGATGTGGGTTGGCTATGGATATACAATGCCATGGACAAAAATGCTGATATCAGTTTGTTACAGTAATTTTAAGAGAAGTCTTGGTTTGTTCGACTCAATTTTCTTGTTCTAAGGTTTATCAAAATGTCTTTTAATTAGAGAATCAGAATATTTTCAAATTGATACTATCCATAATTTTAACTAAAACCTGTATTAATTGCCTCAATAATATTAGAGTCATGGAATCTACAGAATATCATCTATATACCATATATACATATATATCATTAGGAAGAACAGTTGAATTTAGGCAATATTTCTCTAAAGTGTGTTCCATGGAATATTGTTGCATGGGATGATAACAGATCACACACACACACACACACACACACACACACACACTTCGATGACTAAATAAGACTGAGCTCTGTAAAAAATGAAAATGTGGGTCCTCTTAAAAATTGAGAATTTCAAGACAGCAGGGGCAGAGCATTAAACCAAGCATGGGTCTCTTCTCAGCATGGGACCTATGTGATCTATGTGTTGTGCATCCCTGAGAGAAATCCTAGTTAAATGGCTTAAGAAATGCTGGGTTAAAAAATGTTATACAGATTACATTGCAGCAGGACTTCTCAGAGTCTTTTATATGATAATGTGAATTGTGAACCTCCAAGAGGTACATATTGTAAAGAAGTCCCCAAATATATTTCACCAAGTTTTTTGAATTATTATAAAGACCATCTTGTAGGACCAGTGTGCCACACACTGTAAAATACAGCATAGGCTGTGCAGACAGGTTGTATGTGGTTTAGCATCAATTTGTTAGATACAAGTCACATATGACACTTTCCCTGGATTCAGAATAGGTAAGTAGAGATAAGTACAACTATAGATGCAAATGGTGTGGATTCCCTAAATCTGCTGCTCTTCACTATTTGGTCTTTTACTATTTGAAAAATCAACTCAGTGGCTAAATACCCCAAGTGTTTTCTGAGCTAGTATACTAGAGATGGTCAGATTGAGACTATTATCCCACACTAATATTTCTCCCTTTATCTTGTCAATTAGAGGAAATAACATCCTTACTTACCATTACCAAGTTCCCAAGAAATGTTGTACTTTTTGCTGGCACTGTACTTCAACAGACTCAAGGCACTAGAACTGTTCCAGGAGTTATTGGGATTACGACGCAGTGCATTTAGAGCAAATATCAGGTGGAGTCCAGAGCAATCAGCAAAGTTATAAAGTTTGTCTAGAGACCTGGCTGGGAAGAAGCAGAGAAAGGCTTGTAACTCTCAAATCAACATTCCAACAAAAGGAAAATATTAGCTACCACAAAAAGCCTTTCTATGAGCTTCCTAATAGGAATTACACAGAGGGGCTTCTAAAGGAGGCTAGTACCTTTTGGCTCAGGATACATTTCAAGGTGATTGTAGACAGCAGCACACACAACTGCAGACAGAGGCTGCAAATTAGCAAACAATTCCAGTCCACAGTGTGTTTTGTTAACCAAAAAAGTGAGTTGTTAATATTTAAAATGGAAACATATCATAAAGTACCTAGATTTCTAGCTTTTCTTAAAAAGACCTGACACTGCTAGGTCTGTATTCCTTTATGAAATGATAGGAACACTGTCAGAAGACAAGACCAGGAAAGGGCTGGCTGTTGAGTCTCAGAAAAAAGCTCAGCCTAGCAGCACTTAAAAAAAAATCACCCAATTCCACATTTTTAATCTCTCTGAGAATGGAAGTACCATAACCATTAGTGGAAATATGCTCATTATCAGGTTGATACCAAACACCATCAACTCTATTCACCATGTGTTCCATACTCATCCCATTTCTTCATTTATGCTACCACAATTCTAGTTCTGGCTCTCATTTCCACTTGCATAAGTTACCACAATATCTGTACTTGCATGTCTACATCTAGATTCTTCCCACCCTGCCAGATTCATCTTCTCTCAATCAATTTCATCAGTTTGACTCACCTCTCAAAATCTTAGTGGATATTCAAGACCATTTTCTTCCACAGTTCCCTTCCCCTAAATTCAGGCCTCCATGGTGTCAATGAATTCTTTATTGGTGTCAGCCAGTTCTACTTTTTAGAGAATCCCCTACCCTACTGGCCTTTGCTCTAATTATCTTCCTCATTTGGTATTCCCTTTTTCCTCTTTTAAACATATCCAGACCTTACTTGTCCTTTAGGCAGTATTCCCCAAGGTATGAGTGACATGAATTTAGGTGGTATTCAGACTGAAAAAATTTAGGTTAATAATTTTGCATAGAGGTTCACATTATTTTAGTCCCTAGAGCAGGATTTCTCAAATGGGGTTCTGTGGAACACTAGGGAGGTAGGTCTACAAGATGTCTCTAGGATGCTCCACAAATATGATGCAGAGTGACCGAGCTGTCCCATTAGTAACTGTTATAGGTCTTTTGGTTGTATAAAGTGAGGCCATGATCATTTTGTTGAGTCCATTATCTATTTTTAAAGTGGGATATACAGGGGTTGCCATTTTCATCATATTTATATGAGGAAGTATTTTTAAAGAAGAATCAAGAACATGAACTCTATAAATAAACTCTATTTTTAGTGTCAAATCAATTGAAATTAAAATTCATTTATAAGTCTACTAAAGTCATCATGAAACCAACACACATATATTAATTTTATAATTATCTATGTGAGCCTGACTATGTTACTCAGTAAAAAAATAACTTCTTTCAAAGTTTTATATACAATTTTGTCTTGGGCTATAATTTTATTCATATTGCTTTGACATAAGAAAATTTTAATAACTTTATTATTCAACATTTTAAATTTATTTTCATATTGAAAACAACATTAATTAAAGTAAATTCATAAACTTTCTTTAAGTAAACCTAACAAGCCTATCTTTGGAAAAACTATATCCCATTTTGGCTTAAATCAGTTACTTATCAAAAACATATTATGTTTGCCTTATAAGTCTACAAATTCACAAAAAGGAAGGAAAGGGATTAATTTTAAAAAACAAAGTTAACTACTGTCTTTGTTTTCTTTTCAAGAAAGGGTGTCAATAAAGTCACTTTTAGTTTTAAATAGGAGGGGAAAATCTATCCTTGAACTTACCATAAACCATACTTTATACTTCAATAGCATTTATATAATAGAAATATGTGATAAGACTTTTAGCCCTACTTGGGTAAAGTATCAAAAAATCAAGTAATAAATTTTAAAAAGGAAAACCTGAAGTTTCTTTTACCTATACTACTGACCTACATTAGAGGTGGTATCTTTTGTGGAGAGAGGGGTCCTACAGAAGAATAGGCTAAGAAGTTGGTCAAACTAAAGAGTGTTCTTCAGTATAAAAATTTCAGAAGGCTGTCCTAGACTTCAAGAATGCATAGGAAAACAAGAGTCATCCTAACACCAAAATATTCACTGTTGAATTGAGAACTGACTTAAGTAATCCTTCCACTTTACAATATCCTCACTAATCAAATCAATAATGTTTTCAATTTCTCCAATATAAGGCAAAATCAGTATAAATCTATTGGAAAGCCAAGTTACAAATCTGAGCAAAAGAAGCAGAATTTCATGAGACTAAAAAAAAGGTCTGAAAACTGCTCAGATCACATGAAAATCCACTAACAAGGATTTAAAAGAATTAGATAGTTAACTAAACAAGAGAAAACTCACAAGGATGATAACTAAATAGGTTGCTCATAAAATAATTTGAATATTAAAAGGTCAAGAGAGGTCTATTTTGAAGTCTTTTACTATTTATGATTGTGCCACTAAAGTTAAATTATTTTATCAAAAAATAGTATTCAATTAAATAATATTTTGTTCATTCAAATTGTTCTTAGTTGCAATAGCATATAATTTGTTAAGTATACAATGAAATACTTTTTTTCATAACTTTTAGTTTCATATGCAAACTAAAATCATAATCAAGCTTTTATATCAAAAGTTAATATAAATGACTGATTCTCTTTTTAGATAGATTGATTCCCTTTACATGGTCTTTCTGTCAATAACGTCATTTTGTTCAATGTCATTTTATTATAACATTGATGAGATGCCTTAGGTATTTAACTCTTGTTTAAATAAACTAGCCTATGGTAAGACTGGTTTCATTATACATAGTTTCTCTTCAAGTCACAGACTCTATCAATGATTAAGTGAGGACATACTGTAATTATCTCCATATAATGAGGACTTCCTTTGTTTCATATATATATTAGAGAAACAAATATATAGCAAACACAGAAGCTCATTAAATCTGTGATTTCCTGGATTGAGACAGTGGTGTCCAACTTGTGGCCCACAGGCCACATGCAGCCTAGGATGGCTATGAATGTGGCCCAACACAAAATCATAAATTTACTTAAAAAAAAATATATATATATTTTGCCCATCAGTTTTCATTACTTTTTATGTATTTAATGTGTGGCCAAAGACAACTCATATTCTTCCAGTGTGGCCCAGAGCCACCAAAAGTTTGGACACTCCTGATTTAGACAAAGCAAAATACATTTACCAAAAAGAAGTATCAATGTAAAGCATGAAGAAATAACAATACAGATGGTTTTCTTAACATGGTAAAAATGAGAACTAGAGTTCTAGAAATTTTGGAAATACTTTTCCAAAGATAAATTGAAGCCCTGCCTTCTTCATGAAGTCATTCTTGAACATATCAACATCCCTACAGTAAATTCAACCTTCTCTACACTCAGGATCTATTCAATTTATTGGAATCCAAGTGCCTAATGACATCTCCTATGACATTGCTATACCTTGGGATTTACCTCTTCCCCAGAGCACATGACTTGTTTCCCAGTTAAACTGTTAAGTTCCTTAAGGCTGATTCTGTATTTCATTATATCCTTCACAACATCTATCAGAGAGCAATTTCCTGCCTTAAAATCATGCTGAAGAGTTCTTATAACCCAAATCCTGTTAGTTGCAAATAAATGGTCTAGTAAGAAATTGACAGGTCCCAAAGAGAGATCTAATAGATAGTATTGCTAGCTCAAGAGATGTACTATAGAGTTTATTAGAAAATTGCATATGTTTGAACAGAGAGCATTTAGTAGATGTTCAACAAATGCATCTTCATTGCAACATCTGCTGTCAGGTCCCATCTTTAAGCAAGCAGATACTTAAAAATGACTTTCTACTCTCTCCACCAGAGGGTGCCAATGCCCCTAGTGTCCTATAGTCAGGCTCCCTGGCATCTCATAGATATGATTCAAAGGAGCCTTGTCTAGAGAGCAGCTGAAGATGAAGAACTGGTGCTTGGGATGTAAGAGAGAGCAGGCTTGAGAGTCATGTACAGGGTGGGACAAAAGTAGGTTTACAGCTATGAGTACATGAAACACAGAGTTTATTCTTGTATTACCACTTATTAATTTATCATTTTCCATACAAACAACTGTAAACCTACTTTTGCCCCACCCTGTACAATATACTGAGCTGATAGTTGATGCTGTAAAAACTCTTGAGGCTTCTTAAGGACAAACCTTAAGAAATGTCTATAAATAAATGTCAAAAGGAAAAGGGGTTGCAGAGAAGGAGAACTCAGAAATGTAGTCTTAAGTAACCAAGAATAAGAGTTTCAAAGAGATGCTGATCAATGAAAGCAGGTGTTGGTGAGAAATTGAGGAGAAAAAGGTCAGAGGAAAAAAAAGGCCATTACAGTTAATCAAAAAGTAAGTTTAGAAACTAGATTTACAGTAAGGGTGTGAACTTAGAAAATGAGTGGTAGAGAAAAAGGAATAGACTCTGATAGATTCAATTTAACTTGCTGAAGCTCTGCAACAATACCAGGAAGAAAAGAAACAAAATAGTTACAAGAGAAACACCAAAGATAAGTTAAGAAAAACCAAGACCCACCCTGTCCGGATAGCTCAGGTCTCATCCTTTGGGATAGTCTCATCCCAAAACGTCAAGGTTGCTCGTTTGATAACTGGTCAGGACACATACAAGAATCAACTAATGAATGCGTAAATGGCAAGAACAACAAATTGGTTTCTCTCCCTCTCTCCCCCACCTTCCTCTCTCTCTCTCTAAAATCAACAGTAAAAAAAAGAAATCAAGGTCCAAAACCTCATTTTGTCAAAAAAATCTTTCTTCAATGAGACTAATCTCAGCTTTAAATTATAAATAGATAATATCATTGAATTAACACTAAGATATAAATGACAGTCATTTCCCTTAGTTTCCTAACTACTTGGCATTTTAAAAACAAAATAGACAAACAACAACATAACAGAC